CCCATGTATTCATTGGGTTGTTGTTTCTTTGAGGGTTTATTTTGGGGGGCTTAATTTTTTGAGCTCTATTTTTTTAGCTCCATATTTTAGGTATGAAGTCCTTTTCTGATATATCACTAGAAATCCCGTTCTGTGTGCTGTCTTGCTAGCTGTGAAGAAAACTCTTCAGTTTAATGCAATCCCATTTATCCAGTATTTCTTTTTTTCTAATGTAATTCTGGATCTTAGCAAGTTTTGACCTGTGCCTAGGAGCGCTAGTGTTTTCCCTACCCCTTCCTGTAATATTTCCATGGTGTCTGATCTTATATGGAAGTCTTTGATCCATTTTGAATTGATTCTGGTGCAGGGTGAGATATAAGGATCTAGCTTCAATTTTCTGCATGTGTATAGCCAATTCTGCCAACACTATTTGTTGAAAGGCTGTTTTTCTTCCATTCTGTGTTTTTGGCTCCCTTATCAAATATTAGATGGCTGTAGGTCTGAGGGTTTATTTCTGGGTCTTCTATTTGGTTCCATTTGTCCTCAGGCCTATACTTGTGCCAGTACCAAGATGTTTTTATTACTATGGCTTTGTAATAGTTTGAAATTTGATATTGATATTCCTCCAACACTTTTTCCTACTAAGGATTGTTTTTGCTATTAAGGGTCTTTTATTATTCTATATGAATTTTCAGATTGCTTTTTCTATGATACTGAAGAATGTTGGGATTTTGATGGGTATTGCATTAAATTTGTAAATAGCTTTGGGCACTATGGCCATTTTTACAATGTTAATCCTTCCAATCCAGGAGCCTGGAAGGTTTTTCCATTTCCTCAAAGCTGCTTCAGTTTCTTTGTTCAGATTTTTAAAGTTTTCTTCATAGAGGTCCTTCACATCTTTGGTTAATTACCAGGTATTTTTTGAGGCTATTACACATGGATTTGCTTTCCTAGTTTCAGCTTCACTCTTCTCATTGTTAGCATACAGAAAAACTACTGATTTTTATGGATCAATTTTATATTCTACTACTTTGCCAAAGTTTTGGATCAGTTCAAGCAATTTGGGGAAGGAATCTACAGGGTTCTTTAAATACAGGATCACTGTTCGGATCCCCTTTATATTTATTTCTCACCTTATTGGTCTTGCTAAGAATTCCAGTACTATATTGAAGAGGAGTGGAGAGAGTGGACATCCTTGTCTCATTCCTGACTTTAGAGAAAATGGTTTTAAATTTTCACCATTAAGTGTAATTATTATATTGAGGAAAGTTCCATGGATTCCTAGCTTCTCCAGAGTGCTTTTCATAAAAGGGCGTCGAATCTTGTCTTAATTCTTTTTGTGTATCTATTGAGATGATCATGTGGTTCTTGTACTTGCTTCTGTTGATGTATTTAAGTACATTGACTTATGTATATTGAATCTGCTTTTCATCCCTGGAATAAAACCCATTTGATCATAGTGTATGATTTTTTTTTGGTTAGTTGTTGAATTAGATTGGCCAGAATTTTATTGAGAAGTTTTTGCATCAATGTTCATCAAAGAGATGGATCAATAATTCTGTTTTTTTGATGAGTCCCTATCTGGTTTGGGGATGTAGGTTATACTAGCTTCATAGAATGAGTTTGGTAATGATCGTTCTCTTTCAGTTTCATTGAAGAGTTTGAGAAGTATTGCCGTGAGTTTTTATTTGAAGGACTTAGAAAATTCAGCTGAGAATTCATCTGGTCCTGGGTTTTTCTTGGATAGGAGGTCATTTATTGCCATTTCAGTTTCATTACTTGTTATGGCCCATCTAGTTGGTTTAAATCTTCTTGGTTCAATTGAGGTATAACTATTCACTAGGAATTCTTCCATTTGTTACAGATTCTCCAGTTTATTGGCAAAAAGGTTTGCAAAGTATTCCCTTACATTCTGAATTTGCTTGTTTCTATCATGATGTTCCCATTTTTGTCTCTTAATTTTATTTATTTGTGAAGGTTCTATATAATTTTTTGGTCAGATTTACTAAGTTTCTGTCAATTTTGTTAATTCTTTCCAAATAACCAACTTTGTTTTGTTGATTCTGTGTTTTTTTACATCTATAATTCATTTATATCTGACTTAATTTTTATTATTTCCATCTATTGGTTTGGGGTTTGGCTTGTTCTTTGTTTTTCAAAGAGCTTGAAGTGCATCATTAAAATGTGGAATTGAAATTTCTCTAATTTGTTGATGTAGGCACTCAGAGCTATAAATTTTCCTCTGAGTACTGTCTTTGCTGTGTCCCAGAGGAGCTGGTATCTTCCATGTTCATTTTTGTTAAATTCCATAAATGTTTGAGTTTTAATTCTAATCTCTTCAATGAACGACTGGTCATTCAGCAATGTGTAGGTTACTCTCCCTGAGTTAGAGAATTTTCTGTGATGACTTTGCTGTTGAGTTCTAATTTTATTCCATTATGGTTATGGTTGACAGGATACAAGGAATAATTTCACTTGTTTTGAATTTGCAGATTTGCTTTGTGACCTAAAATATGATCTAGTTTGGAGAATGTTCCATGGACTGCAGAGGAGAATGTATATTCTAATACTAATGGGTGAAATATTCTGTAGATATCTGTGAAATCTAGCTGGTCTGTGACTTACGTTTCTTTGATTAATTTTTGCCTGGATGATCATCTATCCAGGGGTGACAGTGATGTGTTGAATTCACCAACAATCACTGTATTTGAATCTATGTATATTTTTAGGTTAAGTAGCAGTTATTTAATGAAGTGGGTGCTCCAGCATTTGGTGTATGGAATTGTTATCTCCTTTAGGAAAGTTCCCTTTATCAGTAGGTAATGTCCTTTTTTCCCTTCTTACTAATTTTAGTTTGAAGTCTATTTTATCTGATATTATTATAGCTACTCCAGCCTGCTTATGGGGGACATTTTCTTGAAAAATTTTATTCCAGCTTTTCACTTTGAGAATGTTTTTGTCAATAAGATGTGTTTCTTGTAGACAGAAGATGGATGGGTCATGCTTTTAAATCCCACTAGCCAATCTTATGTTGTTAATTGGAGAGTTAAGTCCATTAGTATTGAGAGTTAGGACTGTAAAGTGTTTTCTAACTCTTGCCAAGTTATCTGCCTTCTTAGGGATGTGCCTATTCTTCTCTCACTATATTTATCTGGTTCTCTGGTAAGGGGCATTTTCTCTGCCAATATCATGTTCTTGTCTTGTTCTTTGTTTTCTCATTAATCATATTTATCAGCAATCTTTTTAAAGCATTTTGAGAACTGTCTTCTATGTCCTTGAATGTTTGCTCTATTGCCTGGTTATTTCTGTGGGAATTAAGCTTCTTGACTTGCCATTTTTCTTGTTTCTTTAGTTTTGTCTGCCCTTTTAGAAACCCTTTTGGTTTTAATTTGGTGGGGGGAGGCTGTGCTCTAATAGGTTGGTAGATTAACTGGCCTATGGTTTGATACTCTGTTGGGATGTGGTTTTCTGGAATCAGATGTTGTTGAGAGCGGTAAGGGAAGGCTTAGAGTTTAGTCATATTGAGATGCTGTGATGTTAACACTTGTCTGAATGAGACATTTGCTCACATCACAAGTACAGAGTTCATTTTTACAGTTCTGTGACACAGGGAGCCACATCAGGAATGACAGGAACACTAGAGGAAGCAGTACATAGTGTTATTTCATGATTCTTCGAAGAAGCTGATTGGTAACTCTAGGAAGCATGGCTGCAGCACTGTGAGGCTCTTGGTCCCCAGGTGGTTGGCTGAACCCAGGGTTTATCACAGTAGCATTGCATCCAAGTCAGGCTGCACTTCCACCAGACCTTTTCTTAGTTCATATAATCATTGACTGTTTTACAGAGTTCCTGCAAGATTGTATTAGCTAGTTTTGTATGGTAAATGAACATTTTGAATTTAGTTTTCAATATAGATTAATTTCTGTGTTAAAGTAATTCCATATGTTACAGAAAAGATTTTTAGTTAGAAGTAATGCTGTAACAGTATATAACCTTTCTAAAGGAATATTTTAGCAATTACAGTTGGAATCTTAAGTTCAGATATGGTGATATCTGTTTTTAAATCTCATTAAATCTATTTAATAAATATTGGCTAATGGAAATTTTAAAATCAAAAGTAAATCTTTGTTTTTTTGGGTCCGGTCACGGGGCCTGAACTCTGGGCCTGGGTGCTGTCTCTCAGCTCTTCAACTCAAGGCTAGCACTCTACCACTTGAGCCACAGCGCCACTTCGGGCTTTTTTCTTTTTGCTTATGTGGTGCTGAGGAATCGAACCCAGGGCCTCTGGCATGCAAAGCATGCGCTCTACCACTGAGCCACCTTCCCAGCCTCAAAAGTAAATCTTTGTAAAATGTGATTACAGATGTGTATCTGTAAAGGAATAAGAAACTTTAGGATAGACCCAGTGGCTTATGTCCTATGATATGATAGCTTTTCAGGTGGCCGAGATGTGAGGATAGATGTTTAAAGCCAATCTAGGAAGACAAATCTGAGAGACTCTTCTCTCCAGAAGTAGAGATGTTGCTCAAGTGGTAGAGCTCTAGCCATACAACTGTGAGGGGAAAAAAAAATCTAAGAGCAAGTGAGAGGCCCTGAGTTCAAGACTCAGTAATGGGACTTAAGAAACACACACACAGCCAAGCAAAGCAAAGCATAGCAAACAGGATAAATAGAATCAGCATTTTTCTTGATGTTATGTATAATTGCCTAGAGTTACATTTACCTCTAATTCAGTGACAATTACTTGTAATACAACTGTATTACTTTACAAATTTGGTGTTTCTCTAATTATGAATACATGGATTTAAACTATAAAACAGTTCTGTTCAATGATCAAGTGAAAATACCATGTGATAATTTACTGAAATTGCTTTCAGTTACTACTTAGTTAATATGACTCATTTAACCATTTTAATTTATTAACTAATGATATTACTATTTCAAATACTATTTAGCCATTATAAATACATATTTATACATATGTTTACAAAACACTGCAAAATAACTTTCATGTCTTAAAGGAAAAAGATCTTGTGTGAAGAACTTGTAAGAACTACAGATGATTATTTATCAAATTTAGTATTGACTAAAAACTACCTTGAAGAGAAAAAAAATGATTTGGATGCAGCTATGAAAATAGCAAGAGAATTGAAATCAGCACCTTCTCTGAGAACATACTGTGACCTCACTCAGGTAATTTTAATAGTTCATGATGTTAAATTAGTTCAGTGGGAGCTCATTTCATAAACTTTTGAGTACAGCATTTAGGACTTAATGAAAAATTTGTTTTCCAGACTACTGTAACCTATGTAGATACTTCATGACTTACGATAGAGTGTGTCTCAAGAAACCCATTGTAAGTTGAAAATACCATTAAGTCAAAAGGATATTTAACATAACTAAACCAAATATAACAGCAACACAGTACACTGTAGAGTATAGGTTGGTTATTCTCACAATTAAAGGGTTCTTTGCGACAGCCCAGCATTGTGAATGGGGGTCATAACACATATCAATAGCCCAGGGAAAAGATCCAAATTCAAAAATCACAGTATGGTTTCTGCTGATTATATTGCTTTTACACTCATGTAAATTTGAAAAATCATAAGGTAAACTATCATAACTCAGGGATCATTATGTTCACATTTATAGAGTTTTTGTATATTTGAATTCTGGGACAAACTATTAAATTTGGTCTTTGTTTTTATTGCCACTAAGGAAATGGTGCAATATGTGATCTGAGGGCCAGTTGGATGACACCGAGGTGAAAGTAGGTTTTATATTAGTCAGTTTTCTATCACTAGAACAAATACCTGAGAATATCAACTTCTAAAGAAAGAAGCTTTATTTTAGCTGTTTTGAAGGTTTCAGTCCCTGGTTGGGTGTCTCCTTTGCTTTGGGTCTATGGTGCCAAATCATGGTGGGAATGTTTAGTGAAGTCAGAAACATTAACCTCAATAATTAGGAAGCAAAAGGGGGAAGGAGCTGAGGACCCACTGTCCCCTTCAAGGGCACTCCCCCTTACCTGAGTCCTCCCACTGGACCCACATCTGAAAGATTTTTGTCACCTCCCAAGCACATGTTGGAGATTAAGCATTTACCATGTGGATCTTTGGGGAATTCTAAAGGTCCAAAATATAGGACATGAATTTTTAAAAAAGATGATAATGAGACTAGCAAACCAAATGAAATTCTACTTTTTCTCATAAGTAATTTTAACCTAAAATTTCAAGATTTCTTTCAGGCTTTTCTCTCCTTACATTTCCCAGAATGTACACCTCAGAAGACAAGTTGATTTATCTATCTTCTATCATCTAATCTTGTACCTAGGAGATAGAATTGGGAAAAGTTGAAATTTCTTTTTTTTTTTTTTTTGGCAGTACTGGGATTTGGTCTCAGAGCCTCATACTTCTTGGCAGGAATTACACTGCTGAGCCATACTTCCAGTGCAAAACTTCTTTCTTATAAGATAATTTGGCTGGTCAAGACTAGCCATAGATTCTCTGGATTTCTGCTTTATCATCTAGTATAGATACTGCTTTATTGAACTTTGAATTTTCAGAGTCCTGTTTTCCAAAGACAGTGAAATATGTGCACTAGACTGAAGTAAAACATTTGAAGTCATTTCTTTAACTGCCTTCAGTGTCTTAGCTTTAAATGAAAAGTATAGAACTTTCTTACTTGGTCTTGTCTTCATCCAGCTCCATTGTGGATGTTATAACCTATGAGACACTGGAAAGAAGGTAAAGGTGATAAAGTTTCATCTTCTAGTTTACTTAGGAAGATGAGGCAAAGAAAAGAGATAGAAGGGCTGGGAAGGTGGCTCAGTGGTAGAGCGCTTGTCTCACATGCATGAGGCCCTGGGTTTGATCCCTCACCACCACATAAGCAGAAAAAAGCCAGAAGTGGCTCTGTGGCTCAAGTGGTAGGGCACTAGCCTTGAGCTGATGAGCTGAGAGACAGCGCCCAGGCCCAGAGTTAAGCCACTACGACAAAAAGAAAAGAGAGATAGCATTTGAAAAGAGTAACACAGGCACTAGATGAATCTAATTTTCTCTGATGGAATAGTTATACCCATTCATTAGCTCTTACCTGTTGCTATTGGTTATTTTATATTTCCAGAACACATTACTTAAACTTTTTTATTTTTATTTTTTATTGTTATTATAAAGGTGATGTACAGAGGGGTTACAGTGTTACATAAGTCAGGTAATTAGTACATTTCTTTTTGGACAATGTCACCTCTTCCCTCGCTCTCTCCTAGTTTTTCCCTCCCATTCTACTCACAAGTTGTATAGTTCATTTTCAACATAGTATCTGAGCACCATTGCTGCATTTGTTCATCCTTTGTCCCTCCATTTCTGTGTCCCCCTTCCCAAAGACGGATAAACAAGAAAAAAGAAGAAGAAAAACCTCTTATTTCTATTTCCTGGAGTTCATTTCAGTATTATTTAAACTTCTTTAGGATAAAAAGTCATGAACATTGATTTGTTTGCAATCAGTCCTTAAATTTGAGTACCCCAAATTAAGCCTTAAATTCATTAATGAAAGAAGTAACCAGAGATAGTTTTTCTTCCTCTTTCAGCAATATTTGTGAAAAAGGAAAATTCATGTATAAATAACACTTCTCTTTTAATTATAGATTATTCGAACTCTGAAGTTAACGTTTGAGAGTGAATTATCACAAGTCAATTCTCTTAAGCCAAGGAACCCTCCCAGGTGAGTAAGTCATAATTCAGGCAACCATAGCAAGTAGAAAACAATTTCATCCTGAGTTTATTAAGATAGCAAGCAATATAATTTAAAATTTGGATCATAAATGTTTCTCAAGATAGCAACTAAATTAAAAAATTACAATTTATGATAAATTAGAACATTTTCTATTTATTTTTTGTGCCGGTACTGGAACATGTACTCAGGGCCTAGGCTCTATCCCGCAGCTTTTTTGCTGAGGGCTAGCACCCTACCACTTGAGCCACAGCTCTATTTCCAGCTTTTTTAGTGATTAATTGGAAGTAAAGTCTTAGGACTTTCTTGCCCAGACTGGCTGTAAATCTTGATGCTCAGATCTCAGCCTCCTGAATAGCTAGGATTATAGGCACAAGCCACTGGCACCCAGCTCATGTTTTATTTTTAATAAGTTGTTTTGATATCAGCAGATGATTTCTGTTTAATCAGTAACTTATTAAATCAGTTATATGCCAATGTTTTATTTTAGGTTGAATATGAATTGCAGTGAAATTATCTGCATGTTCAGTAATATGGGAAAAATTGAATTTGAGGCCCCAACAAAGTAAGTATTTATAAATTTTTATACAAATGACAATATGTGAGTTGGAGCTTGATTCAAGTTGTAGAGCACTAGCCATGAGTGGGGGAAAAAAGCCAAGTGAGAGCATGAATCCCTGAGTTCAAGCCTCAGTACCAGCACACAAAAATGGTATATTCATGTATGGTAATTTCCTCAAGGAAACACCCTATTACGAATTCTGTTAACTCAAAAATAAAATTAAAGAATGACAATATATATCTGACAGTACTTGTGTTATATGAAAGACAAATTGATTGTTATTCATAAGTTGAGAAATAATTGAGTTTACATAAGTAACTTCTCCGTGCAGTTTTGGTGGGGGTTTTAGTTTTGGTTGGATGGTTAGTTTTTTGTTTTTTGATCATAGGGCTTGAACTGAGGGCTTGGGTGCTGTCTTTGAGCTTATTTTGCTCAAGGTTAATGTTCTACCACTTTGAGCCACAGCTCCACTTGCAGTTTTTAGATGATTAGTTGGAAAAGAGTCTCATGGACTTTCCTGCCCAGACTTTCTTTGAGCCATGATCATAATCCTTAGCTGTCAGCCCCTTAAGTTGCTAGGATTATAGGTAGAAGCCACAAGCACCTGGTTATTTAAAGGGCCTAGAAGAGGTCACTATATAATGGTATACATGTTGAAACTCAGTCAACAAACACTGAACACTGATTTTTGTACTAGAAAATAATATCCTAGATTAACATATAAAAGATAAAATGCAACTGGATATGAATGTTGACACCTATACTTAGTTCTACTGGTTATACTTACACTGGTTCACACCAGTACTTAGGAAGCTGAGGCAGGAAGATCTTGAATTCAAGACCTGCTTGGACTACCTAATAAGATCTTACCTCAAAATGCCAAAAACATAACTAAAAAGATGTGTAATTGCTGTTGTAGTATAAACAGAAATTGTGCTGAAAAGAAGGGCTGATGAGTTGTTGATGTAGAAGAGAACTGGAAAGATATTTTCCCTCATCCGTGAAAATAACTAGCAAGTTTAAAGGACAAAAAGAGAATGGAGATAGACATCCATAAGAAAAATATATGGGCAGTGAAATAGAATGTTACATTCTAAATTTCTCCATGCAAAACTAGGAGCTAATTCTTTTATTTTTTTATTTTTTGGGTCCAGTCGTGGGGCCTGAACTCTGGTTCTGGGAGCTGTCCCTCAGCTCTTCAGCTCAAGGATAGCGCTCTACCACTTTAGCCACAACGCCACTTCCAGCTTTTTTCTTTTTTCTTATGTGGTGCTGAGGAATCGAACCCAAGGCCTCAGGCATGCAAGACAAGCACTCTACCACTGAGCCACCTTCCCAGCCCCTAAAAGCTAATTCTTAAAAGACTTTGTATGCTATGTGATTGTATTGAAACTTTTTTATCCTATGTATGTTCTATTTGATATGGTCTTCTTTTTGTGCAGCTATAACAAAATACATGAAAGTAGATAACTTAAAAGAATAGGAATCTATTCACTCAGTACTGGAAACCAATTAAATGACAGTGTTCTGGAACTGTCCAGACAGGTGAAGTAGATATGAAGTAAAATGAACAAATTATTGGTTAGCTATGGGCTAGTGGTTACTGAATAAATACATCCAATGGATTCAGATTAATGGGATTATTAGTAGTCTCAAATAAGCTTTTCAGTGCTTTGTACTCTACATTTTTTACACTTTATTTTTAAGGTGCTGAACAATCTTTAGTGTGTGTCACAAATGAACTATCATGTGGGAAATTTTCTTGCAGATAAATATTAAAGTAGCCAAACTCTGTTTTGTTTGGTGTTTTTTGTGGTTTATTTTTGTGCTAGTCTTGGGTCTTGAACTTGGGACTTGGATGCTGTCTCTGAGCTTCTTTTGTCAAGACTAGTGTTTTACCACTTGAACCACAATCCCACTGTCAACTTTTTTGGTAGTTTATTGGAAGTAAGAGTCTCATAGACTTTCCTAGCTGTGCTGGCCTTGAACTGCAATCCTCAGATCTCAGCTTCTTGAGTAGCTATGAATACAGGCATGAACCACTAGCTCCTGGCATAGATATTTTCACCAAGAAAATGAAGTTTGAGAATAGTCAAAAGAAATTAATAAAAATGGACCTTGTGATACCTACTCATCACACTAGAAAGGGAAAAAAACTGACATGTCTATCCTTAGCAGGGATGCCTCTACACTTCCTTTGCAAATGGAGACCAGTGACATATATCCAGAAGAGAAAAACATTCCACCACAGGAAGAAATGGTCACAGTGACATCTCCCAAAACAGTTGCTGTGCTCCCTCTAATAGGATCTACCCCTGATGTCATAATTGAAGAAATCATTGAAGAAAATATAGAATGTAAGTGAAGATATAAAAGTGGGGGGATTTTTTTATCTGTAGTGAATTGGTTGCTTTGTTTCATGAATTTAACAGAAACATACTGCCGTGGTAATTTATAGTAATTATATGCATTATGAACTAGAACTTGTGGATTCTATACCCTCCTTAACATTTATCGAAGATGGATTTTTAATTTTGATGTACTAGCTAACTTCTGGGGTACAAATTCAATATTTGGTTTAATTGGGGGTATTTGACTTTAAAAATGAGATGATTTATGAAAGCAGTTTCACCAGTTCTTGAATTAAGGATAGCTTGTCTTAATCTTGGTTCTGATGAACTATCATAAATATAATTTTATAACATTTAAACATATCACAGTTTGACAAGTTGTTAGTATTTTGCCAGTTAACACAGGAGTGAGAAAATACGTAGTTCTCTACTAACAATCTACTTTAGAGTAATTTTTTTTATCATTTTTTTGTTTTATGCAGAATGACTTTTCCTCCCACTGTTTGGGTTTGAGCACTCTGCCTCTTGATCTACATACAGTTCCAGCCCTCAGAATGACATTTTGATTACAAAAACGGGAATATCTTATTATTATTACTAATACTTTAATACTTAGGATAACCTGTTATACTTCATTCTTAACAAGGGGTCTTGCCTTTCTAGTATTTTTGTCAATTCAAGTATAGTTTTTTAGAAATTAGTGTGTCACTGGCAACATTAACAAAATTAGCATAATTAACCTTTATTTCTTACTTTGATAAAGCATGCTTCACAGATAATTTTGTGGAGACTAATAGCTATTCAAAAGAGCCTCACTGGAAAGAGTCACCTATTCCTGTTGGATCCAAAGCAGGTATTGTTAAAGCAGGTACTGTAATATCTGTCTGAGCTTGATGTAGTAGAGTTTAATATTTTGAGTAACTGGTTTTTTTTGTTGTTGTTGTTTTGTGTTTTGTCGGTCACAGTGCTTGAACTCTGGGCCTGGGCACTGTCCCTCAGCTCTTCAGCTCAAGGCTAGTGCTTTACCACTTGAGCCACAGCGCCACTTCAGTAGAGTTTAATATTTGTATGGTAACTTTTACCTAGTTGTAAGTCAGTAGGCAAAACGCATGTTAAACCTCTTACCTTTTATATTTTTAATTTTTATTTTGTTGCTGTAATGGTGATGTTCAAAAGGGTTATAGTTATTTAAGTCAGGACATGAAAACACTTCTTTTTGGACAATGTCAACCCTTACCTTGCTCTCTCCCAGTTTTTCCACAAGTTTTATAGTTCATTTTCAACATAGTGTAAAACCTCTTCCCTTTTAATGTCCAAAGTTTTGACCCTGATAGAATTACTTTCAAATTTTATAGTATTTCTTGTAGCTGCAACTTGAGCTATGCATATTTTACCCCATTTTCAGAATGGATTATATTCTTTGTAATCTATATTAACTAGATAGTTAAAATGATTCTGTCATTATCTATACTTGGCTGTATTCAACTCCATGTCTTAAATACATATCAAAATACTCTGAATTTGCCAGGCGCCAGTGGCTCACACCTTTAATTCTAGCTATTCAGGGGGCTGGGATTTAAGGATTGCAGTTTGAAGCCAGTCCTGGCAAAGAATGTATGTTAGACTCCTATCTCCAATTAACCACCAAAAAGTAGGAAAGTGAAACTATGGCTTAAGTGGTAGAGCACTAGCCTTAAACATAAAAGCTTAGGGATAGCACCCAGGTCTTGAGTTGAAGACCCAGGAGAGAGGGGGAGGGGGAAAGAGGGGGGAAAGAGGGAGAAGGGGAGGGGGAGGAGGAAGGGAACCATCCCCATCCCCATCCAAAATGTCCCATATGTGCTGGCAGCATAGCCCAAAGTAGATCACTTGCCTAGCATTAGCTCAAAGGAGAGCAATTGTTTAGCATACATAAGCCCTGAATTCTATCCTTAGCACTACAAAAAAAAATTGTTTTAGGATTGGGCTCTCTCATAGTGCTTAACTATGCTGGAATTTCATTTCCACAAGAAACTTAGAGAATATTACAATTGCTCACCTTTTGAGAATTATTTCCTAGATCATTGTTTTAATAATATGGTTTAAATATCGATTCCTATCCAGGTTATCCTGAGCTAGTTTTTGTAAGCCATGTAATAAATCCTTGCCACTTCTACATTCGGAAGTATTCACAAATAAAAGATGCAACAGTATTGGAAAAGAAAGTGAATCAAATCTGCACTACAAGTTTACACCTTGATCCTTCTGATATCTTGGAGCTAGGTAATAAATTATTACTCAAAGTTAAAGTATCAAGTTTATTTAAATATTGTAATATTTGACCTGTCTCATAGACTTGCTATAATATAGATTTTTTTCTTCCAGTCAAAACATAAACATAAAAGTAAGAATTATTTAACATTGGTTAAATTATTTATCTAAGTTTTAAAATTGAATATTGGTACATCTTTAGAAAGATAAACACAAAATTTCCAGTATGGAGTGAATTGTTTTTTAAATTACAAAACTTAAGACAAATTATGTAGGCCCCACCCCCTGTCTCCAAAATGATTCCTTTGTGTCACTCTAGTCTCTTGCTTTCCTCATGTACATGTTGAACACTTTAGAGAAACTTAATGGTACCCATTCCTAGGGCCCTTTGGAGGGTAATTAATCAACACCATCTGTGTTCATTCTAAGGGTATACAAACTTACAATGCCTTGGATTTTTAAATTAAGTATTACCTTAATACTATTTTTTAAATTTATACCCCAAATCAATAAAAACTCAATTTTTAGTTTTATTATCATTTTCTGTAATGTGATGAAGCAATGATTTATTTATTAAGGGAGTATTTTTCTGAATGCATATGTATATATATATATACACGTGTGTGTGTGTGTATATATATATATCTAATAATGAAGTTTTGCCTATTTCTGATAGTTGTTTAAAGGAGTAGTTAACTCTTACTTATTTATGTAGCATTTCAGAATGTCAGAAGACTAAGATCTATGTAAACCTCTGACAAAAATTTTTGTCTGAAAAAAATTTGGGGGCTGGGAAGGTGGTTTAGTGGCTTAGTGGCCTAGCATACATGAAGCCCTGGGTTTGATTCCTCAGTACCACATAAACAGAAAAGGCCAGAAGTGGCGCTGTGACTCAAGTGGTAGAGAGTGCTAGCCTTAGGCAAAAGAAGGTCAGGGACAGCGCCCAGACCCTGTATTCAAGCCTCAGGATTGGCACACAAAAAAATTTTTTTTTGGTTTTCTGTATCTAAGAGGAGGGAAATATACTATTAAACATATTACAAATGCTTTTCTGAAAATTAATATATACCCTAATGAATGCAGTTTAAGTTCAGAGAACATTCTAAGCCATACTCGTTTTAAGTTGCTAATGCTAGTTGTTCACAAAATAATTATAGCTGATTTAAATACTTTTTTGTTGGTGGTGATCATGAGGTGCTGTCCCTGAGCTCTTCAGCTCAAGGCTAGTACTCTACCACTTGAGCCACAATGCTACTTTGGTTTTCTGGTGGTTAATTGGAGATAAGAGTCTCACAGACTTGCCTGCCCAAGCTGGCTTTGAACCATGATCCTCAGATCTCAGCCTCCAGAGTAGCTAGGATTACAGTCATGAGCCACCAGCGCCCGGCTTAAATGCTTTTTTATATTTGGAGAAATAAATGACAAGCGAAGGAAGATGATGCTGCTTTATGGAGAGAAGAGGTCCTTTGTATTTGAAGAATAAGAAATAGCTTCAACAGACTTTACCAACTGCATGAAAGAAAGTAAAATTAAGAGAATATTGGTTCCATAGAGCATGAAAACAAGAAGGGATAATTCTAACCAGAAAACCACCCAAATTCTCAGTTTTTTGTGTCTGTGTGCTGGTCCTAGGGCTTGAACTCAGGGCCTGGGTATTGTCCTAGGCTTTTTTGTTCAAGACTAGCACTCTATCACTGAGTCATGGCTCCACTTCCAGCTTTTTAAAAAAAGTTTGGAGATGAGTCTCATGGACTTTCCTGCCTGGCTTAGCTTCAAACCATGATCCTCAGATATCATCCTCCTGAGTAGGTAGGATTATATGAACAATTCTTACTTTTTAACTTAGGCCCAATATCTGTAAAGATGAAGATGGATCAAGACGGCAGCTGTGGAATAAAAATGCTGTCTTCCCTGTGGCATATCTTTTCTTTCTCTGCCATATTTCTTTTCTAATAAACTTTTCTATCATACTTAAAAAAATGTAAAGGCTGAGAAGGCCATATGTGCTAGTAAACAATGAGAATTAAAAGCCCCTGCAGTGTACTTTTCAACCATCCTGCTTTTATTACATTTAGAGGGGATTGTAGAGTATCTTGTATTTAGTCAGTGGTCAGGGCTTACTGCATTTCTCTCCAATACATGGCTTGGGTAAGAGGATGAATTTCAAGGTAACAGGTGTTTTCTTGCTACCTGTTAGACATACGCATGTGGCTGGAGCTACATTTGCAAATACAGCTTCTTGCCTTTGTTGAGATAGAAAAGGGGGATGTTCCCTTTTTTGCCATCATAGAACTCATGGTTGACACCCTTGTAACAAAAATCAATACTTCAGGACAAATGCATAATAAATTTTAAGAGAAGTGGTAAGAGTAAGATTAATTAGTACATTGTATGCGTGTATCGAAATGTCACAATAATGTACAATTATACATTAATGTATGCTAACAGAAGTCTTAAAAACTTTGGAGAGAGAGCCTCTCTCTGAACTTGAAAGAGAAACAAGTGAAGGTGAGAGAAAAATTGGTTCTGAGAGTATATCTTTAGCTCAGCATGCCACTTAATGTGGTTATCAATTTGGGGGGCCCACATTTCATTAGTGTTACTGTGAAAATGGGAGCATTGACAATTTATAAGAAGTTTCATATCCAAGCCTTTTTGTTAGCTTAAAAAAAGGTTTATTTAACAAAGAGAAAACAAACACTGCTCAGGATAAACAGCAGGTCCAGAAACAGATTGTCCCTAGGCCTCTTCTTTAATCTTTTTCTTCTAATTAATTTGTAATCTGTCTAGTCCCACCATAAATTATTACTCTTAACACTAAGTCCTTGGTTTGTTTTCCCCTCTCTGAATGTTAAATTTGGCATTTCACATGCTGCCTTTCATTTTGTTATTCTTTCCTTTGCTAAAGAAGAAAATTGTTTTCTTATAATTAATGTATACCCAAAGTGGTATGGTTGGGTGTGCACATACATCTACAAGGCTAGATGATCTTTAGTGTCCCAAATGCAATATAGTACAGAATTTTATTTGCCTTTATTCTTTGATAGTTTTTTGTTTTGTTTTTTTGGCCAGTCCTGGGGCTTAAACTTGGTGCCTGGGCATTGTCCCTGACCTTCTTTTGCTCAAGGCTACCACTCTACCACTTGAGCCACAGCACCACTTGTAGCTTTTTCTGTTTATGTGGTACTGAGGAATCAAACCCAGGGCTTCATGCATGCTAGGCAAACACTGTACTACTTGGCCACATTCCCAGCCTGCCTTGATAGTGTTAATATCAAAACAGTCTTTTTTTCATCTAAAGCATGAAGCATAGTTCCTCACTGAGTAGTGACTATGTTCTTTGTGCGTTTATCTCCTCAGTTAGCTTGCAGATTTTTGGTGTAACCGTTTTAATAGTAATCTTCAATTGTTATAGCATTAGTATTATTTCACCAGTGAAAATGTCAAGGCTTAGTTGGAGAGCTATACTATGTGTTTTTGTAAATTAGAACATTATTAGATGTTTTTCTTCATAAACATTGATAATAATTTGTCTCCCACGTTATTTAGGTGCAAGAATATTTGTCAACAGTATTGAAAATGGAATGTGGTGTCGAGGAACTATCACTGAATTAATTCCAATAAAAAGTAAAAATACTAGAAAACCTTGTAGTCCAACCAAGTTCTCAGTTCACGAAGTTGCACTAATACAAATATTCATGGTAGATTTTGGAAATTCTGAAGTCCTAATTGTCAGAGGGTATGATCCTTTGTAATTATTATGTGTTCCTAGCATGTTTAGAAACATTTGGGAAGTGGGAAAGTAAGAATGGAGAAAATTAGAAAAAATTGAAGAGTAACTTGTCATTCTTCTAAGATATACATTTTATTGTTTTTGTGTATTTTTTTCTTTTTTTAGGGCCTGCCTGCCTGCCTTCCCTCCCTCCTTCCTGCCTTCCCTTCTTCCCTTTCATATGCTCTATTTTAATGGAGCACTCCATATGTATACTACTAAGTAAGGAAAATATTGTTGTTGATATATATTACTAAATGAGAAGCTTGGAAAGGAACTTTTTTCAGAGCATATACTAATTAATATCTTTTGAATAAACTGTTAACATTATGACTGGATAAAATTTTGATCACATTACTATAATTTCTTTGAAGAATTAAAAAAGTGGCATACTGTCTCTAGGTATTAAAGTTTTCCTATGTCTTCTAAGAACCTGAGACAGGGTCACACCCTGTTGGCTCACGCCTGTAATCCTAGCTACTCAGGAGGCTGAGATATGAACTGTGGTTCAAAGCCTGCCCGAGCTGTAAAGTCCATGAGACACTTATATCTAATCACCAGAAAACCAGAAGTGGTGCTCTGGCTCAAAAGTGGTAGAGTACTAGCCTTGAGTGGAAAAAGCTCAGGACAGCGCCCAGGCCCTGAGTTCAAGCCCCATGGCCAACAGAAATAATAACTGAAGCAGTGGTGGTCCACACTCGTAATTCCAGCTATTCAAGATGCTGAGAACTGAGAATCATGTTTCAAAGCTAGCCGGGGAAAGAAAGTCCATGAGACTGTTATCTCCACGTAATCACCAAAAAGCTAGAAATAGAGATACAGTTCAAGTGGTAGAGTGCCAGCCTTGAGCAAAAAAGCTAAGAGACAGTGATCAGACCCTGAGTTTTAAGCACTAATTCCAGCACAAAGGAAAAACGGAAATGGTTCTGTAGTTAAAAAAAAGTTAGCATCTATAACTTTATTTAGTGGTCATAGCTTAATCTTTAAACTGAATGAGTATATGAGTGTATGAATGTTCAAGTACGGCTGAGATTTTATTCTAAGTATAAAAGTATGCTTTTAGGAACTAAATTAAGTTGATAATAAACTTGGAATATAACTTTCTAGATAATTTAACTTATCCTTAGAGATGATGTCTTCTAAGGATAAAAATAATCTTCAGAGTTTGAATTGTTATTTTCAATAAACAATATTTGAATTTTTTCCTAGAGTTGGTGATACCTATATGAGACCAGAACATGTTACTGCACAGCATATGACAGTAAATGATTTGTGTCTGGCTCTCAGGAAATATGAGCTGTACAATGAAGAGCTGTTGAAAGACATCCCACCCTTAGCACACGCATGCTCCTTGAAAGATATTGTTCCACAGAATTCAGTAAGACATTTTTTTCTTCTATAGAGGCTACGTGTTCCATATTTAGCGATGTATATACTATAAGGTTTTTGATTAAGACAACCAGTTATCATGATAAATACAGTTTGTGCAATGAACTATTGGTACCAATAAAAGAGGAAATGAGCTTTAGCTTCCATAATTGAAAATATTAATCAATAGAAAATTGAGTTGAATAACTCTGAACTTAATTGTAGATGAAATATCCAAGTAAATATTCTATTTTGGAGTCAATTATATAGAGAAATAAGTTTAAAGTATGGTAAAGTTGATATTTCTTTTTTTTTGTCAGTCATGGGGTTTGAATTCTGGGTCTGGGTGCTATCCCTCAGCTCTTCAGCTCAAGACTAGCACTCTACCACTTGAGCCACAGCACCACTTCCAGCTTTTTCTGCTTATGTGGTGCTGAGGAATCAAACCCAGGGCCTAACGCATGCAAGACAAGCATTCTACCACTGAGCCACCTTCCCAGCCCTAAAGTTGATATTTCTAAACATTATTTCCTGTTTCCATGACATTTTGTCATTATTTTTGGCCTATATTACATTCTGCTTTGAATGTACCTGCAGAAAAGCTAAGCTCCTTAGAAACTGGAATTGTGCATAACAATATACAGTATCACCATGAAGTACAAGAAAGCAGGAGTCTCTATCTTCACTCCTTGTATTCCCAACATTGAGATCCTCACCCTCATAATAACCATGCAAAGCATACTTGAGATAATGAAGAAATGAATAAAGTAAAAGATCAGAAAAAAATAGCATTGCTGTTTTCCTTAAGACAGTGACATCGTTAGTTTTCCTTTTTTTTTTTTTTTTATACATCTCACTGTATAGCTGTGGCTGGTCTGGAACTTTCTGTGTAAAGCAGGCTGTCTCAAACTCTTCCTCAGCCTCCTTAGTAGTGGGATTATTATTGTATGCCACAAGACCTCACTTGCATTTTGTTTTTTATTCTTGAGGAATTTGTGGGTTTGATCATTGAGATTTGCATTAAATATACATTTGAATGCTTAAAGATCAACTTAAAACTTTTTCCATTTGGGTGAAAAAGGTAGCATATATATCATATACTGTTAGTATTAAAGCTAGATTAACCGAAAATTATTAATATTCTACTGTAAATTTATATATTATTACTTTTTGAGTTTTTATCACTTAGGAAAACATTCTTGTTTAATATTTTTAAATACAATTTTTGTGTTAATCTTTAAAAGTGAAAGTGCCTAGAAGCGCCTTGAGACTATGAAGTATGCATACACATTGTATAAATGTAAAAACTGCCTTTGAGTCTCAGCTGTTTTTTGTTGCTTCCCCCCCCCCCCAATTTGTGTTTCTTTTGATATTTGGGGACAGGACCTTGTTATCTACCTCAGACTAGCCTGGTGTTAAAGGCATACACCACCACACCTGGGTTTTTTTGTGTGTGTGGGTGGGTTTTTAAAAATTCTTCTTCTTAGCAATACTAGGGATTAAACACAGGGCCTCCTGCTTGCTAGGCAAGTGCTCTGCCACTTTAGCCCTGTTTCCACCCTGCCTTTCCATTGATTATTTTCAACACAGAGTCTCACTTTGTGATTGGGCTGGGCTGAACTGCCATCCTCCTACTTGTACTTTCCCGTGTTAGTGACAATGACAGGCATGTACCACGGCACCCAGCCATTTGTTGAAATAGAGTCTTGTGAACTTTAAAAAAAAAATTTTATTAACTTTAAGTGGTTGTACAAAGAAGTTCCCACTCTTCAAAACAGTATATGAGGGCTGGGAAGGTGGCTCAGTGGTAGAGCGCTTGCCTTGCATGCATGAGGCCCTGGGTTCGATTCCGCAGCACCACATAAGCAAAAAGAAAAAAGCCGGAAGTGGCGCTGTGGCTCAAGTGGTAGAGCGCTAGCCTTGAGCTGAAGAGCT